TGCCAGCCAATTGCCAGTCAACTAGCTGCAACATGTAATTGCATGTAATTTAGTGTGTAACTGCAGCAACAACAACAACAAGAACAACGGCAACAAATCCGAAATGACAACAACACGCTGAACAAATTATGTTGTCTTAGAAATCAACTGACTGCTGCGGGGGCGGCTGCAAGGGGGGACTGCGGGGGGGCGACTGCGGGAGGACCAGAACGTAGGGGACGCTTCGCAGTTGGCGCTCCAATTCGTATTGTGCTTGGACTCTCGCTGGCAATTTGCATAATGAGTTTTTAATTTTGTTTTTTTTTTTTTTCATTTCAATATTAATGCTGGCATAGCTGGGGCAAGTTCGTTGCCTAAGTCTTTCGTCTTGCGGCCCGAATTAAAGTGTAATTTGGTCAGCCATTAGATGGCTACCAGGCCAAGTAATAGTCCATCTCGAGGTCGCAGTCAGACTTGGAATTGGAGTCGGCGTCGGCGTCGGAGCCGGAGACGGAGTTAGGCGGCATTTGATCGCCTCTAATTAAATAGCATTTCCGCTCCCGCTCGAAAATGATACACTCGCTGGCGAAATAGGTGTGGCCTAGATGGGAACGGCAATGGACGGACGCGCTCCGTCTGCCTGTCTGTCCGTCTGCCTGTCTGTCTGTGTGGAGGGCGAAACTGAGTCGGGCAACATTCTGAGTTTGTAGGGCACCGAATTTGGAACAAGTACGTGGCATTTGCCATCAATTTGTGGCATTTCATTTGGTTTAACAATTTGCATTATGATCCAAGTAGCTGCCACAAGAAGTGAGTGAGAGGTTCGAGCTCCCAACTCTTAACAATACTTTGCTCTATTTACAGCTAAGCTAGAGTATTTATAGCCATAAAAATTGTGGACTTCGCTTTTTACATGCGAGTTCATTTAATCCATTACGAATAAAGAACTTATTGGCAATTGAGCCTGGGAGCTTGAGCCTGACTTCAGTTACTTTCCTTATACTAAGGGAAAAACTTCCAACTTCTCTAATAGTCAACAGAAATTTAAGCGTACAATACATTGATATCTGTTACGAATCTTAGAATTTGTAGTGTAAGACTTATGCATCTAATGGATTTCTTAGCTTTCTTTTAGCATATTTCTTTGCACTTAGCTCAAGACTTCTCATTAAAAGCTGTACAGCTTTCTGAATAGTTAGGTAAAGGGTTCGAGTCCCTGATTAATATTGTTCTATATAGAAAAGTGAAATTGTTTGTTATTTTTTAGAGCTTCATGATGCGATTTTGAGTACAATAACTGATCAGATATCTTTGCCTTGTCTTTAGGCTAAATTATGGACTTTAATGACAAGCGATATGAATTACTTATTATAATGGCAGAACTTTCCCTGGGAAACTCTCAGGGTGCTGAAAATGTTGTGCTCTGTTAACTTTCGCAGCGCTGCTCTGGCATATTTCTTTGCACTTCCCATCTGGAGCAACCCGCCTGTTCTGCGCTGTGTTGGAAGGAACGAAATTAAAGTCAGCCTCGTCTGCGGCTGCTGATGAAGCTGCAATTATCCTCGATGATGATGGCGAATTCCATTCGCAGCTGCGCTGCCTGGCTGCCTTACTGCCAGGCTGCCCGTCAATCGATGGAACGCAGCGAGTCGTCTCGCCACGCCCCGCTCCACCCCGCCCCGACTGACTGACCGCGCCTTGCGCCCACGTGCAGTGCCAAAAGTCGAGCAAACAATGACGAGCAGCTGGCAAGTATTTGTTGTTCTCACTCGATCGGGCAGCGCAGTTATTCGGCTTGGGGTTTTGGGGCCCAGAGAACTGGGCCCCGTTGCCAAGTTTGTTTTAGTCAAATATTTGGCTTTTTGTTTCAGAATTGTTCGGTTTATTGTTTGTTTGTTTGTTGGCTTTGGCGTTCTCCAGTTCTCTCGTATTAAATATATTACGAACTTTTTTTTTCACTTTTTGGTTTTTTAATTTTCTTCTGGTTTGCGCCATAAAAAATGTTTAGTTCGTCGTCGTTTTTGTGTCTCGGACCCTTTGGAACAGCTTGTTGCCCTTTTTACTTGTTCTGTTTTTTTTTTTTATTATACTCCAAATTCCGATTTGCGTTTTTTTTTTTTGTGTTTGAGGTAGCTTCGACTTTTTATTGTGTTCACAACCACAGATTGGCTTCAATATGAAAAAGAAGTAACCCGAGCACCGAATTTAGTTTTTGTTTTTGTGTTCTGTTTTTTTTTTCTGCTTGCGACCGCCGCTTTTATGATTATGGAACCCCGCGCTCTACGATCCGGCGATATTGCTATCTCTTTCCCAAAACTCAAGATGTGTATCGCAGACTGAATCTGAATCTGAATTTGTTTTTTTTTTTTTTGTTATTATTATTATTTTGTATTTTTGTATTTTTTTCATTTTTGCGTGAGCCAATTATGCGTTTTGTATTTCGTATTTTGTGTTTCTTTCTGTGTCTGTGGTTTATATTTTGCTTCAAGGGCTCAGCGAGGAGGTAGGGGGGAGGGACGCTTGGGGGAGGCGGCAACACCGAGACACAACTGATTTTCTTTCATTGTAATTAAGGAAACGTGACTTTTTTCAGATTTCATCGAAAATTTTGTTGTTGTTGCTGGCGCAGTATTGGCGTTGTTATTTCAAATTGTTGTTGTTTTGGGCCATCGCAGCCTTTAATTTCGTTCAACTCTCGCATTTGCTGTTTCTCTTTCTTTGCAGAGATACGATTTGATTTGATTTGATTTGCGGAAATGTCTACCAGAGCGCCCTGTAATTGTTTATAAGTAGCAAAACTCGAGATTTTTGACTAACTAAGACCAGGAAATACAAAAAATATGAAATCAGCTAACAAGTTGAGTTTAAATACACTTACAAAGCGCTTTGAAACACTAAAAACTGTTGACGAAAAAACACTTAAGGTAGTTTTATATGTAAGTAGAGCATGTATTTGTGGTCAAACTTAAGATTTGCAAAATTAATGATAAAAAGCCTAGGAAATACCTAAAAAATGCAAATATGTTAAATGTTGGCATTTAGAGGCGCTTTACAACACTGAAAACTCAAAACAAACCCGAAAAATACTAATTTTATATATGCTACTTCTATTTAAAAATGGGTTTTATAAGTTTTTTTGTCAACTGACCTAATTTAAGATTTTACACCTAATGAGATTCCGGATTATACATAAAATTGGAGACAAATTCTCAAGCTTACACTTACAAAGCGCTCTACAACACTAAAAATGTTGTACGAAAACGGTAATCAATGTTTTTTTTTTATATGTTACCCGTATTTATAAATTGTTTTTGTTGTTGCGTTGAGTTGAAACTCGTGTTATTAAATTGCTGAGAAGTTTTTTTTTCGGAATCTAAGCAACATTTTAGATGTTTTTTTTTTCATTTCATGGGCTTTTTTCTGCTATTTGCGGCTGGCGCACAGCGAGAGACAAGAGACAAGAGAGGTCACATTTGATAGTCCGAACAAAATCTTGTCGACGTCGTGTATGTATATGTATGTGTGTGTGTGTGTGTGTGTGAAAGAAAAAAAATGGGTGATAGAAAGACAAGAGTCTGAGGCGGGAACTGAGATGGAGACGGCGATGGAGTTGGAGACTGAGACTGAGAGCCGACCAACAACAGCGAACAAAATGCCTTCGTTAAGCGCTAGAAACGGTTTTAGGCCCCGGTTTGATGCTGTTGTTGTTGTTGTTGTTGTTGCAGTTGTTTCTTTTTGGTTGCCCATTTGTATTGTGAGCGGGGAAAAATGTTATAAAAATGTAATTACCCGATGATGAATGGATTAACTACAAAAGAGTGAGAAGCCTGCATTGCTCCGGGTGCGGATGGCAACGGGGTAACGCCAAGGGGGTTGCGGGGACCCGAACATGCTGGAAACGATTTGGAATTCGACTGCCTAAAACAGTTAACAAGGAGGAAATGCCAACAGGTGAGCACCGAAGCGGATATACACTAGTTGTCAAGTGAGCAAAATCGTAAAAAGTAATATTGACTATCGAGAGAATTCAGGCGTGCAATAAATTTGAGTACATAGTCCCAACTATCGATATTTCAAATGTCAAAAGTATTAATTTTGGCCTATCGTCTATCGATGTAATCGTTGTTTTCGGAAATTTCGATTACAATTATCGATAAATAAACTGTAGAGCACATCAGTTGCTGATTATATATATAATTATATAATACTGAATGCCACAACTATCGATACAATCGATCAATTTGCCCATACAACTCAATTAATGAAATCTATCGATATTTAAACCTTAATGTTATTGATATTGATATCAACTATCGACCTCATCGCGCATCGACATTATATAAACGATATAAACGATATATAAGTTTATTCAGTTCAAGTAACTGTAGACGTAAGCTATTATAATTTTGTAGATTTACTGACCACACAACATCAATATTTAGAGCTTGTTTAAAAAGAAATATCGATCGATATCGATTGTAAAACTCATCGACTTATCGCATGAAGTAATTTAGGCTAGTTTGATAGCATTCTCAGTCCTGGGCTTCATCGCACTTCTTTTCACCTCTACCATTTCTTGGAGTTAGGTTTTTTTGTGTATTACAAGCTTGGTTCGAAAGCACAAGTGCCTCTCACCTGAGGTTAGGGTATGCGCATAACAAGCTGTGCACAAATGTGTCTACGAGGCAAAAGGCAAGCGGCATGCGGCAAGTAGCCGAAACGACAGCCGCCGCAATTCCCTACGGATGTCGATGTCTGAGTGATCGGTCAGAAAGTTTTACTCGGACTGAGACTGGGACTGGGACTGGGTAATTGATGCATGAGATTAGCTTGGGTTTCAAGTACGTAGAAAATCCATAAGTGACGCTCGTTGTGTGATTCGAGTCACTAGGCGAGCCGAGCCAAAAACAAAAAACATACAAACAAAATGGGTCAAACAAAAGCTGGTAAATAGGTAAATAGATAGATGGTTATCCAGATACAGACATCTGGTACCCTTGGTAGATGGGGAAGTGACTCACCTTGAGTATACACCTGCCCACGGGCTCGTTCTCGGCGACGGACACGTTGTAGAAGCTCTGATCGAAGATCGGTTCGTTATCGTTGACATCGTGTATGGTGACCAGCACCGTGGCCGTCGAGCTGAGCGGCGGCTGGCCGCCGTCCCGTGCGATGACCGTCAGCTGTGGCACCGGCTCCGTCTCGCAGTCGATGTGCGAACGGGTGGTAATCAGCCCGGTCTGGGCATCAATCTGAAACCATTGAGCATGCGTGTCGGGCGTATCCGCCAGGGCGTAGCTCAGTGCCGCATTGTTGCCCTCGTCCCGATCGCGGGCCAGCACCTGCAGCACCGAGGTGCCCGGATCGGCCACCTCCATGACATTCGCATGGTACACGTCCTGCTCGAACTCGGGCGCATTGTCGTTGACGTCGGTGACGCGCAGGAAGATCGACTTGGTGGCATGCAACGGCGGCGTGCCCTTGTCCGTGGCCACCACGCTCAGCGTGTAATTGGAGGTCGCCTCGCGATCCAGCGGCAGATTGACTATGACCAAGTAGATGCTATTGTCGCGCGTAGTCAATGCGAAGTGGCCATCGCCGCCTTTCAGCGAGACATTCACGTTGGCGTACTCCGTCTTGGAGTCTGGGTCATGCACGGAAATGCGTGCCACGAACTCGCCCGGCTGTGCCGACTCCGAGATCTTGGGCGAGGCATCCTCGCTGAGAAATATAACATTTATAGTGGGCTGATTGTCATTGACATCCGTCACGCGTATGGACACAAAGGCTGTCGTTTCCAGCGGCTGTTCGCCGTGATCCTTGGCCACGACGACCAGCTCGTGCAGCTCCTTGGTCTCAAAGTCCAGCGGCTTGTTGATGTACACAGCGCCCGTGCGCGCATCAATGCGAAACATTTGCTCCTTGTCGCTCTGCCTGCGATTGATCGCATACTCCACGAGTCCATTCTCATCCGCATCCGTATCGGAGGCATAAACCTGCAGCACACTCGTGCCCACGGTCGCGTTCTCTGGCACCGTGGCAAAATACCGACTCTGATTGAAAATCGGCTGATTGTCGTTCACGTCCTGGATGGTTATGTTGACGGTCATGAGGCCACGCAACGGCGGCGTGCCGCCATCCAGAGCTTCTATCAGCAGGCTATACGCAGGCGTTGTTTCCCTGTCCAAGAAACCGCTGATCTGCAGATCGAGGTAGAGCACGCCGTCCCGTTCCCGATGCGAGGACAGGCGAAAGGCATCGTTCACATTGCCGGACACAATATTATACCTTTGCGTATTGTACGGCTCCAAATCCAAATCTCGCGCGGGGAGCAGCGTACGCTTCACCTCGCGCGGCGTATTCTCGGGGAACTCGATGTGCATGGCGGGCTGTGGAAACGTGGGCGCATTGTCGTTCTCATCCCGCACGTCGACCACAACGCGCACATTTAGGCCACTCATGGGTATGGCCACCAGGCCATAGGAGGCGCGGGTCTCCCTGTCCAGCCGTACCTTGGTGCGTATTTCGCCCGAGATGTGATCAATGGCCAGATCCGATTCGACGCCGGGATTGGCGACTATGATGTAGGGCGGACCGCTGTCAATGCTGTCAAAGTCACCGATATAACCAATCTGATGGCCAATGGGCACGCCCTCAAAGACCTCCAGACGACGTTCGTGCTGCTGCTTTTCCCCCGCGCTACCCGCTGCACTGCACCCAAACAGTTGGCTGCAGGAGACTAGGAGCAGCCAAAGCAGCGTCCAGCTCGTGTTGTTCTTCTTGTTGTTGCTGCTGCTGTTGTTGGCGGGTAAACTTGACCTTGAGCTGTGCCGGTTGCGTCGCCGGCATCTGTGAAACATTGTATAATCTTTTTGGGGCGTTCTGGGCGTGGCACGCCGGCTTGTGTTTGCTTTGCTGCTGCTGCTGCTGCTGCTCTTGTTGTTGTTGTTGTTGTTGGAGTTCACAGAACTCGCACTCGAGCTGGAGCTCGAACTCGTATGCATCTCGTTGGGTTTTTTTTGGGGCTTTCTGTCGCTTTCGCTGTTTCAGTTTGTCTGCGTTTGGGTATTCTTCTTCCTGTTTCTGCTGCGTGCTAAGAACCCAACATCACGCTATTCGCATATCACCGACTGCGTATGCCCTACGCTACGTCCAGCAGCAGGCGCCATTTTGGGCTGCAAATGGAAGGAGACAAAATTTTGAAAATTAGAAAATGTTTATTTTAATGTTAATAGTAAATATATATTCTATGCTCTTGTCCTTGACATGAAGCGTTTAACGCATAGAAAGAGACACGACCGAACCCATAATATAGATATATTTATATATATAATCTTGAACTCAAGAATACATTTTTAGTCTTAGCCATGTTCTTCCGTCTGTTTCTATGCAAAGTCTAGTCTCTAAGTTTTTAAAGCTCTCTTCATAAAATCAAGCACAGGTCCATCTTAATGTGGCAAGATGTAAGTAAATGGGAACTAACTGAAACAAACTCCTATATCATATAGTTGCCAGGGGAAAAGCTTTCTGTTATTCCAATATTCTCATCAAACTAAGTAATAACGAGCTTCGAAGTTCTTCCCATATATTTGCACAACTCTTAGTCATACATCTATACGAATATTTAATCTTTGGCTCTCACAATCAACCCGTGTTCTTTCTTGTTGCATTTCAATTAGAAACAAACTACATTTTCTGCTCCTACCGAACACACCCTAATTAATACAAAAGAGTCAGGAATATTACGAACTCGGCTCAACACATGCATAAGTGTCAACACATGGCATTGATTCACCAAGCGATCCTTCGACAAACTGTGATTAAGTACTGGAACCGGGCTTATTTTTCTTTTCGAAAAACAGGGACAAATGGGCGACTATAAGCGTAGAGCATAAACGTGACCAACTAATCGCTGCCCACGCTGCAACGACTTGGTGGACAGTTGGTGGGTCTTTGCGTTAGATATCTTCTTCTTAGGCCCGTGATAGATGGCAACTAATAGACTGATAACTGCACTAACGCGCTTAGCGGACTGATGAAGCTCATCACGTTGATGGTTCTGAGAGCGGCTTACGCATTGTCCAAGCATCTGCAGCACAATTTGAAATTCAAACGAGACAAATGCCGATAGACCTTTGGGGTGGGGAGGAAGAAACAAGACTGGATACACACATAAACTGAACGAGCTGAAGACAAAAGAAGCTCCGGCAGGCAGCAACAAAAACTACCTGCGCGTCCAAAAGGTTCAAAGGCTAAAAGGGTCTGAGACCGAGGCCGAGTCCGACTACGAGTCCGAGTCCGAGTCGGGGGTTCTGCTTGGCTCTATGCTGGTCTGAAATATTAATGTTCTAAAACTGTTGGTAACACACACACACACACACACACGCTCACTCAAACATTTAGAAATCGAACAAATAAAATACAAAACTAAAGTTTTTATTGTATTGAAATTGGATTGGATAGCATGGGATCAGCCAAAGAACAGAAGAAAGACAGTGTGTGTGTGTGAGAGAGAGAGAGAGAGAGAGAGAGAGGGGGCGAGTCTTAACTGCGGCTCGGCTGTCCAGCGAATTCGTGGTCAACAATTTAGTTAACAAGACCATGACTAACACTTTTCATATTCGGCACATTCGAGTGGCCCCGAAAAAAACAAAACAAAAACAACAACAAACAACGCTGTGCGGCGGCTGCTGCAATTTTATAGATTTTTCTCGCGCGATAAGCAAAAAAATACAAAAACAAAAAAGGAAAATGAAAGAAGTAAAAATACTTCAGACGGGCATGCCGCACTAGTAAATACCCTGCAAACAAGTTTGCTATTGAGTTGTAAAACATTCAAGAAAAGTAAATAACAGAAGAAATGAAAACATTAGCTCAGTAAAAGTGGATGAGGGAATGCTTCTTCAAATTATCAGACTGCGGGGCATAATAATTATTTAAACTCAGCATTTCAAAAGTGTACAAGATTACTTTGAACTAATTTTAACAAGCTCGTTTTTAAATCAAGCTGCTAGCATGCCAAGTCTTAAGTTCCCAGCTCTGATTGTGACTGGGATCAAAAGGATGTGCACATAAAAGTAGATGGATAGAGGTGGAAATGTGAGCTGGTGTCTTTTATACTTAGAAGTATAGAATCGCAGCCTTGTCATTAGCTTATTTTCATAGAAATTATATGCTCTCAGATACCAAATACACATAAGAACTGCAACAAGAGATATGCGGTTCACATCCCAAGAATGAAGATTTATTTATGATAAGTTAAATCATTTCTAAGCATAATTCAAGAACCAAAACTATACAAAATTATAAATTAGAAAGAAAAAAGATAAGTCAAACAGTTTAAAGAATTTTATAAACTCGTTTTAAAAATTATGTGCTATTTAGAAGAAAATAACAATAACAATTTAAAATTAAAGAATTTTATTTTATGGAAACTCGTAAGAATTTAACAGATATATATTTATTTTAATTTGGTAATCTACCAATTAAATAGTTAAGACACCCCTCTTACAAATTTTCTCTTAAACTCCAGGGTATAATTATGATTATTTGTTTGTTTCAACAGGCCGTAGCAAATGGTGGAAATGCCCAAAATAGAAATTTGTTAGTTTCACATGGTATTTGGGTTCGTGATGTTCCTAGCGATAGAAATCTAGCATTAAGGGCGCCCTCCAAGAGAAAAGAAAATAAAACTGCCCGCTCATCGCCAGATGAACGCAGGATCAAAAAGAAAGCGAGCAATTAAAAGTGAATTAATAAATAGACTATGCGAAAGGCAATGGCATTGCATGTGTGAGTAGCTTGCCTTCCGCGGCAGAACTCAATTATGTGACAGCTTGAATGCCTGATTGATATAACGTACAGGCAGGGGGGTACAGGGTATGGGGGGCAAGGCAGGCTGCGTGTCCATCAGGCCTCTAATAACTTAATAATGATGGTCCGAGTACCTTCCTGGAAACGCAGCCATGACATGAAAATGTAATTTAATAAACTGCAAACCGGGTTGAAAAATCGAAAAAAGAAAAAAAAAATATGAAAAGCACATTAGACATGAACCCCCGGTTCTGGCTGGGGCCAGGCTTGACACTTGACGGCGGCCCATACGCAAATTACCTCTGCAAGATCGAGGCTTGGGCTGCTGCTGCTGCTGCTGCTGCAGCTACTGCGGAAATGTCAGTTTGATTTGCACTTGTCATAAGTTTAGATGAACTGCTAATACCCAAACACATTAGAAAGCGCACAGAGCGCAACTGGTTGCGTGTGTGTGGCTCCAACAACTCGGCTCCACTCGGCTCCACTCGCCCCGCGGACTGTGCACTGTGCCGTTGTCTAATATCGAATGACAAACATGTAATTAGACATATTGTAGTTTTGGCTTTGATTTGCCTGACCGTCTCATAACTTGGGCATTAAAAAAAATATTACTTTTCCCAGGACTGTGTTCGCCTCTTTTTTTTCTACTCTTTTTACGAGCACAAAAGCTCGTAAAGGCTGTTCGCGTTAATAAAATCTACTTAATGGCAAATAAAAGTTACAACAAATACTATATAACCATAACCCCATCAGAGTGGGGTATACACACATATACGATATTAAAGAAAAAAAAACAATAACGAAAAGCGCATAAACTTTACGGCTCAACTAATTAGCCAAAGGGGGGCTGGCACAAAACTGACAAAGGGAGGAAAGAAAGAAAAGCCACAATATTCTCAACTCTCGACTGCTGTGCACAGTGGACACTCGCCTGGCATTGCTCTGATATCAAACGAACATCAGACGCAAAAGCAGGCGCTTTTTGTGAGCGTCCAAGCATGGCCGCCGCAATTCGGGGCAGCCAAAGGAGCCGAGGCGCCTCCGTCCAGCTGCCAGGCAGGAAGCGGCCCAGAGCGCCGCGTACAGTGCTTAACATGAGCACTGCACATGTTTCGAGTGCCTAGGATTCAATTAATTGCTTATAAAAACCAGAAGAAAAAGACTCTATTTTGGTCTGCCTTTTAATACCCTTACAGATTTATGGCAGATATAAAATATGTTCATCTGATCTGAAGCAACAGCTCGTGAAATAGGCGGGCAAAAAGTGCATTGCCAAAATATTGAAAGGGGTCGTCCACATAAGCATTCAATTTACAAGCAATTTTCAGTTGGGTTTTCTGTCGAAAAGCTAGACATGTAATAAAAATCTATTGGGAAGATTAAATGCCCTATATATTTGTAAAAAATATGCAAGATATTGGGCAGATTAAAATGCCTTGCATAATTATAGATCATATGCAGTATATCGCTATGCTTAGCACAGAGCAGTTTATCTTCCATGAGCTCTATTCTTAACCGATTATTCCTATATAAGCTATATGTTATGACAGTTGTGATAAAATTTAAGTGAAGCTTATCATCCCTGAGTGGGATAAAGATAACATGAAGAATAAAAAAGGTTTATCATTCAGAAAACCTTTTTGCTAGATCGATCGATCCTATGACAGCTATTTGATATAGTAAGCCGATCAGTTCGGTTCTGTCAGAATAAGACCAGCAATTATAAGAAGCAGCTGTTAAAAGTTTCATAAAGATATTTGCACTGAGATCTTAGTTCATAAAGTTAGCGGAAATGTCCTTCTCCTGGGGAAAGTCCTACTATATATATTATATTATACTCTATTCCCATTTAGTTAGCTATATATTAATTGAATACTTATATAACTATGATATATTATCGGGAATTCCTTTCTCCCGGGGAGAGTCCTTGTCAGTGCAACTAAGAGGATCTCGCTCTTCGCTCTTTGATCACATCCAAATATAATTTATGGCTTTAGAGTTGTCTTGTTCAACGCGTTACATATGCCTTAACGCAGTTACAATACCCATTTAAAGGGCATTAAAGAAACTTCAACTTGTACAATTAAAAAAGGCAAAGAAACGAATCAGATAATCAACTTGTCGTCTGTTGTTGTCGTTGTTGTTGTTGTTGCTGTTGTGTATTCATGATTTAACTTCAAATTATGCAAAATTGTTGTCTAAAACCGGCGGCTAAGTAGGTGGTAAGTAGCGCTTTAGAGCGTGTTTAATTAAATGTTGAGTAATTTATGAAATGTACGAGATGGAGCATGCCCAGTTGCCCCTGCTCACTGAAGTGGCCAGTGACAGTGCCGGGCAGCGGGGTGGGGTAGTGAGGGATGGT